CAGAGTGCTGAACGACAGAGTAGGCTTATCACAGGGTCGTTGCAACAAACAGACGCATACTGCAGCACACACTGATCCAGCCATATGTGAAGGTGACAGAGACTACCTAAGTAAGAAAGTGGAATGGAGGGTTTGTTGAATATGAAGGGATAATTCCAGTTTAAAACTCCTTTCCCCCTCCCTGCGGGCATCAGAGTGGGATGATGAAGCAAGAAGCCTCATTGAGACATTGCCACAGAAACTCCTGGCCTGGGGACTGATGATGGGTGTACATCATCAGATGCATAACAAGAAGAAGAAGGACAGTCAGTGCAAGTATAATAAGAATGGAGAATGGACTCTGATGGAAGTCTGCCTCCGCCACTCAGACTAGTTTCAAGTAACATCCTTATTTATCCAGAATCATATAAAATAAAAAAAGCATTTGTGTGAAATTTTGTCATAATTGCTGTGTGAAGCCTTTTGAAGGATGGTTCTGGGAACACCGTCACCGCAGGTCATGGTAAACCTTCTGTCAGGAGTAACCAGGCCGCTCATCTGAGGTGTGGGGATGAGTCACATGTATGGCCTGGATCCTGTACTCCACACCAGTCCCACACCTGCCTAAGGATGTTGTGTTCTATATACTTTTGTCCAATAAGACTCACATGGGTTACTGTGGTGAGAGCGGGTTGCTTTCTTTGGAGATTATGTAATCAGCTGTCCAAGCCAACTGATACACTGGTTTCTATATTTTGTGTCCCTGTTTCTCCCCCACACAGTCCTCTGTGTTATTACTGGACTTGCTCTTCCTGGACTCTCGTGTTGTCGATACAGTCATAGTCAAGTACACCACCCACACTCTGCACAACTAATAACTGAAGAGGTTTTATTTTGAAGGCAAAAAGCCCTGCAAAAACGTTCAATAAAAACTAGAATGGTACTCCGTAGAGTGCACACCTCCGCCAAGGACAAGCAGTCTTACACTCGCTGTCAGATCCCGAGCCAGATTATCAAACTGTACAAAGTCATAGATCTCAACACCATAAATATGTTAGAGTTTTTCACATCGACATTCATTGTTTTTTTCCTGAGAAATTGACAAAAGTGTGGAAAGATGCAGTGTGAAGGAAAGTGATAAAATAAACATTCCTGGGTCGACCCCCTTTAACCGGATCGGCATCAAATCAGTTCGGTACCTACTGTGTAATCCTGCTGACAAACAAACAAACAAACGAACAAACAGGCAGACGGGTAAAACAAAACCTCCTTGATGGAGCTAATAAACATGTTGCAGCTATAACTCTGACTATTCACTCACAGATGCTAGAAAATGTTGAAAAAGTTGTCCATCGGGGCTCCTTTTCACAGCAGCAGTGCTGCTGCAGCTCCGGTCCCCATCTTTAAACATTGCTTTTGTTTTTCATAATGGCCATCAATCACAGAATATCTGATTTCACTTCTTCATCTTCATCTGAAGAGTGAAGAGTTGTAACCAGAAAGAAGCCACATGATTTTTGCTTTACCCTCATTCAGAGCAAGTGAGAGAGAGGGAGAGACCTGAAAGTAGACTAAATTTTTATCTGACCCCAAACAGAGAATATAAATTGGCCGAGTAGCTCCACTCTGTCAGAGATACGAGGCAGAGACGGATCCTGACCAAACACAGGCTCAGTCGCCACCAACTAGCAGCAGAAATAGAAACAGGAAGGTACAGACAGACGCGGCTGCCCAGAGAGGAGCGTGTGTGCGGTCACTGCTCGACAGGTGAGGTAGAGACAGAGATACACTTTTCTTCTCCGCTGTGACTATTTCTCTCCAGTAAAAAAAAAAAAAAAGCTCCACTACAGGGAAATGGCCAAGAAAATAACCAACTTCCAGATGTGAAGCCCAGAGGAAAAACTCTCAGTTCTCCTGGGTGAAGGACCAGCAGCACCGCCGGAGGAACTCACAACAACATCCTCAAAACTACATCTGTATGATGTTTATTAAACTGTATAAAATTGTTTTGTGTTTTATTAAATTATATACATTAGCAATATACTGCATCAGTATGTGACACACACAGCTTTGGGAACATGTTTGTTTTTTCATGCTAGCAAAGCTATTTGAATTGAATTGAACTGAATTGAGAGAGAGAGAGAGAGAGAGAGAGAGAGAGAGAGAGAGAGAGAGAGAGTGCTGAAAAACTATGTTCTTACTGACTGTAATAAAATTATAGCCGACATCTGCCGTGACTGTGTAGTTCACATGTAGCCTCCACGTTCTCCTTTCCTAACATGCAATTGCTAAAACATTATTTATTGGCCCGTTTGAAAAGATTCTTTTCCTATTCGTTGGTCAGACGCAAATGTTCGAGTTTTGTAAATCTGGATCACTTCCTCCCAGACGAACATAGTGGCCATGTTTATAACTACTCTGGTATCTGTATCTGTTACTGGTTTGTGGCCTTGGATGGACTGAGTCTGCCCCTGCTTCATGGGGTGCGTACAGTATTAAGGTATTAATGTCTGCAGCTGTGTGGAAGGATGCTCTAAATCATCCATTTATAAAATGACCACCTAATTCCTAATCCACTTCAAGGTTTTACATAGAGTTACTGCTCTGAAACACGGCTATATCTTTTCATTTTGTTGTAGCCAGATCCCATGCTGATAATACTCATCATTTCAAAAGCACAGGGCACGCTGCCTGCATTCCAACAACACTATTGCCTTTGGGCTCACAATGGAAAAGCAAATTATACTTCAGCTCTGGAGAAAGCTGAAGTACCCACTGTGAAGCAGTGGCTCAATGAAATGTGACACCTCACACTTGGGATTAGGTAGAGTCTCAAGAACAAACTTATATGAGTAGAAAGTTTTCTCCCCCTTTGTGTCCTCTTTGGAAAAGGCTAGTGATTATTCCTCATAGTTCTTAAAGGAAAGGACAAGGCCGAGTGGCCAAGGAGGATAATGATGTTTTGATATTCTCTCTTTTTCTTTATGCTCTTTTAATCTTTTTGTCCATTAGACGGTCTACCCACAAGCTCGTTCTCTTAAAGCCTTCATGTGCCCAAAAATCTTCAAGAAAGTTCTGATCATTACTTCAGTAGTAGTACTAGAAGTAGAAGTTATTAACACCTGGAGTAATACAATCCACAGACAGAGGAAATGAGCTGCATTTTACTGAAAATAGGAACAAGGTAGTTAGCATGAGCAGTGATAGCCACCATGAAAGCTAAAGAAGTGGACTCCATTGAAAAAGGACAGAAGCCTATGAGCCTCCGTTTGATTAACAAGCGATCTCTGAAAACAGTGATGACGGCCATCATAAGATAATTAGTGGTAATGCAAAATTTTTTTGGCTGTTCATTAATTTTTGCCATATTTGTATTTTCATTCACACACAGCAGGAAACATATATTATTTTTATTCAATATGAAACAGAGAATACTGTATTAGTGTATTTAAGCTGGTGGCAGAGGTGGATAACGAAGCCAAAAACTGTTCTCAACTAAAAAGTAAACAAATATTAGGGAAGAGGTAAAACAATCATCAAATAAACTCAACAGCTCCTCCAACCTGAACAAAAACATATAGGTTGATGAGGTTTTTTCAACCCTCTGATACGACCCACAGGAATGTCTCCTGAATATAGAGCAGCAGGTACCGGACCGCGGTTGTCACGGTTACAATAAACAACTAGTAATAAACACTAGGACTGTGGCGAAAGCGGCACACCTACCTTCGTTGCCATGGTTACTATAACGTTACTATAACGGCACTATAACGATCAAGGGTTTGTTTAGGTTTAGGAAAAGATTAAGATTTGGTTTAAATAAGTACTTCCTTTAGTAGCGAGTAACGTAATACGTTAGAATAACGTGGCAACAGTATAATAGAGCACCAGCAGACCTGGGATCAGGAGAACACCAGCCTCCAACCATTATGTGCATAAATTAGTAAAATAAAAATAATAACTTTTCTCTATAAACCTATTCAAGTGCGAGTAAGAAGTACTATATTAAAACTACTCCAACATGTAAAATTTACTCAAAAAAGTAACTTATTATGTGCATATAATGAGGGAAATGTAATTAGTACCGACTTAGAAAAGATGGTAGAATGCAGAGTAGATTGTCCCAGTTTATCAGGTACTTCTATCTTAAAACTCATCACACAACTTCATTGAGAGGCTTCAGCCTCCACTCAGACAAATCATATTTACCTGAGGTCGTCTGAGGAGAAACACTCGTCCTGTCATCTTGAAAGTAAGAGCATGAGTCTCCTTCACTGTCAGATTTATTGTCTCCTTAAGTGGCTCATTTATCCAATTTCATTTCCGTCTGCACACAGACCCCCCACCCCCCACCCCACCCCTCTAACTGAAGATTAAACATTGGTGTGGAGATAATAATGGCTTGTTCCTACAGAAGATACTTGGAACTGGTCTGTCCCTGCAAAGCATCATACTGCACCTTTAAACTGAATTGCATTCAGGACAATGAGGTCGTGAAGCCAAGAAAAAATGCCCAGACTTCTTCTTGTAGCATGATTGACTGTGAAAGAGAGGTTTCTCACTCCACCACTATACGTTTTTATCAAACATGAGGGCCAGTCCAAAGATTACCATTTGAGCTTTGCTTGTGCACCGAATGCTCCAGGTGTGGTTGCAGGGGTTAGGCTGGGGTCAGCGTGGCCAGACACGGTCCACATACAGCTGGGTAAGATAACAGATTCCCCAGGAGACTGAGAGCCAGTCAGGCAGAACAGACATATAAACTACTGCAGCGTAAAGTAAAGGGTCATCGGGCCTAGCTACTACACACAGGAGGTGAGAGGCTCGGCACTGAGGTGGATGGAGGTGGTGGCAGTGTGTGTGTTCAAGTGTGGATGCAGAAAAATTTCTATCTTCTCAGTGGAGCTTTTCTTCAGGGCTGTGACTTTTGTGTGTGTGTGTGTGTGTGTGTGTGTGTGCATTAATTAAAGATGAATATACGTGAGACAATGTATATGTCTGTGTGTGTTATCCAGCCTTACCCTTTAGGTGGATCTTATTTTCCGGGCTGTGCACCAGCACAGAGCTAACTGAATCCAAGCTGTCGTAGTTACTGCAGCCGAGGGGACCCGTCCTCGTTTCAGTTACCTAGAAGACAGAGGAAGAGCAGATCCATTTACTGCACTGATACAGTCTATATGATACATTTTTTTCTACAATAATTCCACATTAGCAGTGATTGCCCTCTGAATGCAGAGAAAACTATCGCCATCTTTCGCTTCGCTTCCACACCTGCAGCCACAGCTGCCTGCAGTGCGTCGGCTGTCTGACGGAGAATCGTGGAGGAGGAGAGATGAGAAGTGCGAGGGAGAGAACAAGTGCGGGCGTTTGTAAAAGATTTCAACTTTGAAGCAGCAAAATCACAGACAGAAAGAGAAAGTCACATTCAGCTGAATGACTTTTAGCAGTTATCTGCTTTTACAGACGTCTGATAATCACCATTGTTACGTGTGTCCAGATCTGTCGGTGCATCAGATATTAAAGATATTAGAGCAAGACTCATGACCTTTGATGTTTGTGGTCACACCGCAGACATTGATTGGTTACAGCTGCTTCTTCCTTAAAATCTTACATGGCTCAAAAACATCATTATGTTTGCTGATTTATTTCTTCTTAAAAAACCGGGGAACAAATAGTCTCTCACACTGATATGGTTAACTTGTTAGAGCAGTGTTTCTGGCCACCTGGTGCATCTTTATGTTTTTGGTCGTTACTCCTGAGGAAAATATCTGGCACTTTAGCTGCTAAATGATCCACTTTTTTCACCAGCTAGTGGCTAACTACGTCTGTCTGCTCTTTGGTGAAACAGACCTGGCCATGGGTTAGATGCCTTCACATCATGTCTTCTCTGCCTTACCACGTTGAGCGTTAGGGCGTTTTACCATTTTATTTGGTATAATGTCTATGTGATATTATCATTGGGAGAATTTTCTCATCACCTTTAAGAAGTGAACACTGGGTGTAATGTCCTTCCTGTACAGTATTTAGGAGACAGTGTTTTATTGCTAACTGCTGCACATTTTCCCCTTTACCTGATTAAAGGCCCGTCCACACCGAGAGAGAAAGACAGATGTAACCAGAACTGTAACGATAACAACGAGAGCATCCGTCCACATTGGTGAATGATAATGTTCTGTAAAGAGTTCTGCCGAGCACACGCCGCACGCTCCAGCTGTGTCGGGGGCCCTAAAATGGGAATTGATTACTTGTTATGCTGCACCTGAAAGTGTTTGTATAACTGCCATCAATTAGTTCACATTAAAGAGGCAGCCAGAGAGAGCAGATACAGCATTGATAAAGCACTTGATTTAGATTTTATTAATCTTTATTATTATTAAGAATAAGAATAAATGAGAAAAGAGTTGAAAAGTAGCTGCAGCCATGGTTCTGGGGGGGGGGGCTACACTTTATTACTGATAGAAAATATGTTCCAAGACCATTTTACCAATCCACCCTCCTGTGTGGAACAAATACTCAGTTCATACATTACTTCATCATCATCTTCATCATTCTGTTTTCTGAATGCAACGCCCAGTAAATTCAGACGTATTATGATTGGCTGCCAGTGTTTTTTATCATTCGCCACTGTCGGCGTCGTTTTAGTTGTGGTGGACTTCACCATCCACTTGAGTTAGAACAATTTTTAAACCAATATATTTATAGTTATCTCAACAGTTCTTTGTGTGGACGAGCAGATCGTGGGTATTTTTTTTCTTCTTTCCCCCAGTTTGCATATTCTTTGGACCCTGTGAAGTATTTGTGAATGTGCATGAGCCTCGTTGAAACCATTCCTGACCAACCCCACAGCCAAGACCATGTTTCATCCCCTCATGATGCTCTCATATTCCAACAGAACTGAGCTGCAGCACTACTAAAACAAATTCAGGCTGCATTAAAGAGAGATGAAGTCAAATTCCTTCTATGCCCCTAATAACATAACGAGATGCTCCTCTTTTTAAGAAAATGTCTATAGCAACAGAGTAGCAATGAAACTGTTCTGAAAACCAAGGTCACCTTAAATATCCTTAAATCAATTTTATTCATCTTAACTCATTTCTGTACTTTTATCAACACACCTTCATTCTCTCCGTGTTTCTCTATGGGGACAATAGAGAAGAGAGAAGCTCACTTACAGTTATGCGTGTGTCTCAATAGGAACTAAATGGAGTTTTTTTCTCTAACAAGAACAACCAAGTTACATGAAAGCTAACTTTTCCTTAGCTGAAGAGACGTCCCTGAAATTTCAACAGTCAAGGTCAATGAAATATTAATTGTAGCACAAACATCTGACCTGGATATAAGTGCTGCTGAGATACATGTGATAGAAAATATGATGCATTAACAATATCCCACTTGACATTCTGTGTATGACTTCTCTGCTGTAGGGCTGCAAATTGAGAAAAAAAGAGGAAGAAAATAAAAAGAGCAGACTTGAATAATGAGAGAAATTCAGAGGAAGAGAGCGAAAAAGTCAAGTGTATAAAGAGACAAAGGGTAAACGTGGGAGAGACAGAAATGTTCAAAGATCAAGCTCGAGACAGAAATAACATGAGGAATAAAGACAAAAGGAAGAAAGAAAAAGAACATTAAAAAGAATAACAAAGGATACAGCAAATAGTTAATTTTTTTGAAGCTCGCATAAGAAGATGGATGTGGCCTCTGGCAAAGCAATTCTCTCGCTAAATCACTCTATTTGGCAAATGATGCAGGCTGCGTGAATCAGCCATTCTTAAAACAGCCTCACATCTTCACACTCTCCCTTGCATTAAGATTGCATCTATTATCAAAAGAAATGGAAGTTACCCTTCAAGGCGCTGCAGAAGATACACATCTCAAACATCTCTCAAATATCATCTCGCCAAGACGGAGTTCAAGATTAGCAAGAGATAAAGGCGGGAAGCAAAGGGAGATTAGTGAAGGGGAAAAGAGGCCGTTTTGGGTTGTTGTTTAAGCCACAGATGTGGTCACAGATAATCAGTGCTTTCATAATGAAAGAGGAAACTGTTGCGTCTCATTCATGTTTTCGTATTGAGTCAGGAACAAAATCAGTTCAAATTGAACTCAAAGGGGCAAATTGTACTTTCTCTCTGCCGCCAAACATGGTTGCGGGTGTTGGCGATTGTCGCTGGATAAGAGCTTCAGTCATCTTTGTCTTTATAATACAAGAGGTTATAATACGGCCTCTGAGCAGCGCTACGTCTTCAGGGCAGGCGTGAAGTGTGTTCAGACTTAACTCAGGGTGAACTCTACAGTAGTGGTTCTAAAAACTTTTTCACATCAAGGACCCCTAAACTAACACGAATTAGACCACGGACCCCCATTTAAAAAGATTTTGTCCCAGGGTCCCTCATCTGATTAGATTTCTGCTTTTATTACAGAAAGTGCTTTAAAGCCATGAACAACAGAATCATTTATTCTGTCATTGTGTTACTTATGGATAGAATCATAGTGAAAATAGATTATTAATAGATTATAGAAACTCCCTCGCGGACCCCTGGGGGTCCCCGTACGGCACTTTGAGAACCACTGCTTTAGAGGGATGGTGCATGTTAAGATGTGAGCCTATTGTCAGCTCAGCTGTGACATATAGTTACTATCTGGTTAAACGCTTACTGAAAGACACATGAAAGTGTTAGGGCTCACAGAAACAACTGTGGGGCTAGCTGGTTAGCATGCTAACTTCAGTAGAAGGTGGAGACAAGAGTTAACACTGGTGTTTGTTTCCACCTCTGGAGACAGCTGTTGGTGAGTAAAGGAATGAAGTTTCATGCTGAACTCACACGATGTTTCTTCTAGGCTGGTAAGTAAACAGCTGTAAATGCTAACGTTAGCTATGTAGCAACAGCAAAACTTACAAATAGCTCATTTAAGCTTATCCAAGATTAATGGGTTATTTTAGTAGAGTCTATTTTGTTATACCTTTATTTTTATTTTTTTGTACAAATACTCATCCAACAAACTGTTACAGCCCGTAACCGAAATTATTATTATTATGTTCTTGTGCTAATTTAACGTCTTTATTTATTTTTTTTGCACTTGTCGTGTCCTGCCTTTCCGTTGTGTGGATTTGGATGGGCCGCCACACAATGGGCAAAAAGTAATTTATGGATACGGCTGGATTACCATGCAGGCAGCTGCTCCGAGCGAGCCCCAGATTTCCAAAGTGCCCAAAAGCACCAGATTCCCTGCATGAAAGTTGTTTTATGGTAATTTGATTAACTGCAAAAGTTACAGAGGAGTGAGGTGTCTCTCCGTGCAGGTTCTCTGCTGAAGTTGGCTCTTGACGAGTGCAGCGCTGTGGTAAAAATACTCTTCCTTCCTCTGTGTGACATGGAGCCGGTTTCCTCTCTCACATCCAACCTGCAGATTTCACACAGATGTTACAGACGGTCTTTTTTGTCCCACAGAACAGTCGTCTAAACTGGGTGTGTGATTGAGGTTCCTCCACTTCGTTGCTGGAGACAAAGATAACGTATTTTCACCACTCCCACCTCCTACTCGGTGCTGCAGAGGCACGGAGCCCAGAGGCGTACATGGACACGGGTCAAGTATATCCCACTCAGTGTCGCTTCCTCTTGGGTGATGAGTTGATCTAGCAGAACACAGCACGGCAGGTGGCTTGCATACCAGAGATCCTCATTTAGAAAAAACATGTGAAGGATGCTCTTCTCCAAGTGGGAGTAGCTGTGTGTTTGTTGTGTGTGTGTGTGTGCGTGCGCGCGTGTGTGTGCTGGTAAATGCGTATGTGTGTAGGCGGGTGTGCAAATCTCTGGGTGTTAGCGGTTGCTAATGAAAGGGACTATTTACCTGCCTGTCAGTCTTGGAGGTGAAAAGCAGCTCTATTCTCCTCACCATGGACAGGTAAAACAGATCATATGTGCAGTTTTTGTCTTGTTTATTTAATAAAACTATTAATAAAAGTATTAAGTTAATACTGACGAGAATAAACAAAACACATTAAATGCACGTATGTTGCGCATTTCTTAATCTATATGCACATAACAAATGGCTGGTATGAGCTCATCTAAAGGCATTAATGAGTCGAGTAGTTTCTGGAAAATATGTTTTGACATTACATCATTTATATGTAAATATATGCAGTAACAGTAGGTATTCCAAAATCGAATTATATAAATGTGTCATTAGGAGTAACGGGTGTAAGTATAGGGGCTCGTTATTAAGAGTTATGATGAAAAATGTCATCAGGTGTAGTGCATAGCCTGATATTATACATGACAGCGGAGTGTTGTCTTATCGTGACGAATAATAGTCGTGGTGGTTTGGACATCTGATTGCGATGTCCACCAGACACCTGCCTTTGAAGGTTTTCCGAGCATGTCCAGATGGGGTTGGAGACCCTGAGGTAGAGCCAAAAAACCATGCTGGAGGGATTCTAATGTATATTTCATGGAGCTTTGGAAACGCTGTGGGATCCCTCAGGAGAAGATGGAGGTTGTGGCCTGCTCGCTCAGCCTGCTGCTACAGCGCGATTCAGAGCCAGACGAGCAGCAGGAAACGGATGAATAGATGGACTGAATTACAGATTTTACAGCCGCTGACAATGTGGATTAAAATCTTGACTGTTACTCGACTGTTACGCGTGGCAAAATGACACCAGCTAGTTCGTTCAGGTCTGTGCAACTGGTATGAAATGTGACAGTAGCTCATATTAATATCTAACCTTAGAAGAAGAAGAAGAAGAAGAAGAAGAGACAGAAATGTTTTTCAAGTTATTACAGCATATTGCTGCACATAGCTTTGGGATATTTTTAACACTAACTGACGAATTTCTTGTCTGTGTCAAAACAATACGACAATACCATACACAACAACAAAACACTAGACACAGTATGAGTTTGTGCCTGATTTTGCTGCTCGCTTTTATCTGCTATCTTCATATCTGATCAACCCAGAACAAGATCATATTAGTCTAATACTCTCCCTCCAGTAACAGTTAAATGATCATAACAATAATAGTATTATTAAGCAAAGAAACAGAAGTTTTATTTCAGTTTTAACTTTGAATTCATCATTACATGTATGAGTCCCTCTGAACTTCTGTTTATCTGGTTGGAAAGTGACGTTGGCAGCAGTGAAACCGGACCAGAACCAACACAGAGAATATGTGTTACCAGATCTCGTGAGAGTTGCTGAGACGGAGATGAATAAAGTTCATTTTCTCCTGATGTGTCGGTCTGAAAAATTATATTTTAATGTCAGAATGTTCAGAGGATCTGTGCGGTTTGTGAAAAATGGATCCAATATTTATTTCGGTGACTATGGGGCGAAAGAATCATCATCATCTGTGATCACGTTCACTTCTCCCATTGGAATGAATAGATTCATTCTACGTGTGCCGTCTCTATTCAAAGCATATACTGTGTTTTTTAGACTTGAGCTTGTTTGTTTTCTAATTCTTTTTATTATAACATTATTATTATTATATTATTTGTTCCCTTTCTTTCTCTTGTTCTTTCTTTCTTTCTTTCAAATTTAGTTTTTTTTTTTTTTATGTTGAGTGGAGGTTAAAGCCCTAGATGGATTTCTTACCTCAACTGCACATCCACTTCATAAAAAAAGAAACTATATACTATGTATTTGTAATGTTTTATAAACCAAATCAAATCTTTCTCAACTTTCTCTGATAGGGCTTTTTTCTCTTCTTCCTTTTTACTGGTCCTTAACCTCAGCTACTTCAACAATTATTCTACTTAAATACCTTTTATTTTATACTGTAATAATTTGTACTGAAGACATGTTTGTTATAAGAAGAGAAGCGATGTGCAGCTGATCACAGAATATCACTGAAAGATAAAAACAGATTAACTTATGTGAGAAAAGATCTTAATTGTTGCCAATGGCTTATTTATCTGCTACTGTTGACTTCTTTGCAGAAGATTGCTTTATGCATTTTGTGCATCGGCCTCTCCCCGCAGTAACAACTGCATCAAACTGAGCAGGATTTCACTTGATAATTAATTCAGGCCGAACAGATAATGTGTTATGACTGAGATGCAGCATTCAGACACAGTAAAACTTCAGTAAGCAAGAAAAGTCTGGTTTGTTATTGTTGCTCACATATTAAAGTGGTGCGTTGCTGCGATAAAGCCTGTCAATAAACATACAAACTGCATTGCTGCAAGTGAGCAGAGGTTATCTAATTCTTTTATTTTTTATTTTCAGACTGTATTCCCTGTAGCTGAATGTTGTGCAACAAACTTTTTTTTTTTCAGTCATTAGAATTCTATTTCATGTTCTCATAATAATCAAACTTTTCTCTCTTGGTAAAAAGCAATTTGTGCCGAGTTGAAGAGGTCTTCCTCGGCGTTGTGGGCAAACACATTTTGGAGCAAACGAGAGTTTCAGCGTCCTCCTTTTTTTAAAGTGACTTGGAAACAAGAATGGTCTGAGGGCCGGCGTCAGCTCTGCACAGTGAGAGCTCGCCGCGTTTTCAGCAGCAGCAGCAACCTGGAAATAAGGCACCTTCCTTATTCAAAGTCTGCACTTAGCAATTACTCATTTCAATCAGATTTGCTATTTAAGTTGAAGCATGAAAGCGCGGTCCGCCCACCCACACACCTGCTGTCATCGCTTGAAAGCCAACAGATCTGCTCTGATGTGAAAAATGTATTGCTTGGTTATGCTTTGCTTCCTGTCATCAGGAGGAGAGGAAAAAAAAAAAAAGAAAGAAGAATTTGAACAAGGTAAAGCCAGGCAGGGGAGATAATAGGATTCTTTTCTTTTTTTTATGCTCTGTTCTTTGAGTGGATTTTCCACAAAACTGCCGTTCGCAATTAATGATGAAAAGAGCTGGTAAAAGCCTGGTGGTGGATTTGGGGTAAATGATGATTCACCACATCAAGGCCAGTGAAGTGTTGAGTGTGCAGGTAAATAAACTGAAGCGAAGGACATAAAAAGGTGTTAAACCAGTAAAAAGTATAGAGTCAGCGGCATGCTTTTTTTTTTGGATTTTCCACAAAACTGCCGTTCGCAATTAATGATGAAAAGAGCTGGTAAAAGCCTGGTGGTGGATTTGGGGTAAATGATGATTCACCACATCAAGGCCAGTGAAGTGTTGAGTGTGCAGGTAAATAAACTGAAGCGAAGGACATAAAAAGGTGTTAAACCAGTAAAAAGTATAGAGTCAGCGGCATGCTTTTTTTTTTTTATATATATATTTTTTAGAAAAAAGTGTTGATAATTCGCAGATGTTGTGATTCAGCTGCGCACACACCTACAGAAGAGCACACAATCAACCTGCAACCCGATCGAGATGGCAAACAGTATGAGTACAATACGCATAAATACATTTTTTCCCACTGGGACTTTTGCCTTGCTTTAGTGTCTCTCTGGGCTACAGCGCACACTGTGCTTTTAATCCAACCTGCCACTTAAATATATATATATATATATATATATATATACCATGTCATCATGCGCTCTTTTGTCTCTCCGCCAGCTTTTGAGCAATGACGCACCTTGAAAATAATCTTTAAAAAGGATCGTTTGTGTGCATACCTTGAGAACAAGCAGAGCTATTTGTTGTAGGTGCAGCACAGAGGAATATCCCAAAGGGACAGTTTTATAGGAGGGTTAATGTTTGTGTGTCTATCTTGATGGGTGGTTGTTTGTGGATCTGAAGAACTGCGAACACAAGGCTACATACAACAAATAAACAGTGCATTTTGTGTGCCGTGTCTTGAAATAGACGTTCTTCCAAGGCTGCTCGAAAGCAGAGAATGTGTGTCTGGATTTGTACTGTAAGCAGGTTCAGTCGCTCGCTGTGTGCATGTACACGGTACCTTGATTGCAGAAGTGGCGATCTGGAGGTGGTGCAGTCGCCTCAGGGTGCTCTCTCGATCTGTGAAGTAGGAAGCCGCCAGCTGGTGGAGCAGCTCCAGAGACACCACTGAGCTGTTGCTGTTACCCTCCGACTTCTTATTGAGCTTCTGCTTGTCCAGGAAAATGGTCAAAGATTCCTCTCCTGCCGAACAATAATCAATCAAGAAATCCAGTCAGTATGTCTTTTACTGAATCCCTACCTATGTCGATTATTTTACAGTGTACTGTAACAAACCCCTTTTAAAGTGTTGAATTCTTTGGTTATAAAAAGTAACTCCACTTCCAATATTTCACCACGCCACAGCAACAGGCTGATGTTATCCTCAGAAGACCTCCAGTGAGATTCTGCTTTTTCATTTGACATTTCTCTGGCAGGCCTTCACTCACTCACTGCGGTTTGTCCGCTGTGCAGCAGATAATGTATCATTTGCTTTTGCTTCACTCCCTTTCATCAGACAATCATAGAATCACTAACGATAAACACCTCTCCGCGTACTCTGATGGTTGTCTCATTACACGCCCGTGGCTCCCTGAGGTAACTGATGAGGAGAGTTAACTGGAAGAGGCTGGAGAGTATGTGATTTCCTTTTTCTTTTTTTTTTTAAGAAAATCATATCAAAATTTCTAAAACAGAGTCTGACTTAAAATAGCAATGAGTAATATCTTGTGGTCTCAGAAAGTGTTGCTGATAAATACCAGTCACCCTGTTGCCTAAATTGCTGGAGACATTTCAAACTTTCTAAAGAAGTCAGAGCTGGCAGGACTCTACTGGAAATGCTCCAGACTCCCCCTGTATTAGCCAACATGCACTCAGTTGAGATTCAAAGCAGCATTTGAAAGTGGAGAAACAGATGTGGGAAAAGTCAGATTTTTAACCTTGCTGATGGACAAGTATTACAATTTAGCTAACATTAGCCACTAGCTATAGCAAGCTAATGTCAATGAAACATAGCAAATGTCAGCCTGTCAGTGTCACATTCATTAACATTTCTAAAATGTTCAGTGGTGCTCTCATTGTGCAGTGTCCTGCTAACTGTCAGTTTAAATCAATCATATATACAGAGCAACCTTTGAGTATGAGGCATGCTAACATTATCAACCTCGCCTGAGTTTATACCTGGTGTAATGTGTGCTACATTATTGTCTTGTCTGTAAACTAAGAAGGACTTTGGCAGTAACAGGCAGTTAGCTTGACATTTGTAAGTCCTGACAGTCCCGGGTTTCCTATAGCTGCCACCACTGTCTGCTAAAGAGATCACACCTACACTTTAAGTGTGATATTGAGTCAAACCTTTACCGAGATCAGAGAAAAATTTGAATTTCATGATGTTAAATAAAGCACACCATTACTTATTATACTCACAGTCAATCACAATCACAGCTATCGATGCAATAGCATGTGATCTGTCTTGGGCAGGTCGAAAATACAACGGCAAGAGGCGAAGCAAACCTGGAGCGTTTTGTGTTCACAATGTGCAGGTTAAATTAACCGCAACACAGACTTGAAGCCCACCTCGAGAGGTGGCCTCAGCGCTATGTTGGCAACACTGCAAACTGTAAACGCCCCCCCTAGTAGAAACTGTTTGTGCCAATTAATTTTGAAAGAGCAGTCCAACTCAGTCATATGGTATTCGCTTGACCAACGGTGGAACCATGATCACTCAGTCAGTCAGCGACATTTGTGATTATAGGGCTGGCCCCGCTGTTGTGGTCCAGCCAGAAAGTAGTGTTCATGGTATGTAGCTATACAACTTTCTGCTAACGATCCCACAATGTAATGCAACACTGAAAACTGTCACTGTGCAGCTCAACAGCTGTCAGTGATGACATAAAATGATGATGACTAAGTGTCCGACATGTGAATTTACTTCTCACTATAGCGTAAACCCATTTATAGGGAGCAATGAATGAGTAGGAACAAGGCAGAGATTTTTGACACAACCTCAGAAAAGTAAGGTTTTAAAAGCAAAACAAGCTAAAAGACAAACTAATGACCAACTATACCAAAACTAAATCATGATTAACTGACTCTTTACAGTGTATTATGCTTTCATGTCAGTCAAGCCAAAGTTTTTCATCTTAACCCAGCTAACATTTGTGAAAAACACACTTTACAGTTGAATGTAACCATAGGGGAGACGGACATTAGAAGCAAAAAAGAACAAGATGAAAACTGTGGAACAAATAGGAAAAACAGAGATCTGGGATGTGTGCATTTGCTCAGCCACAGTCTAATCAGTATACAGACTGGCTCAGCCCATTTAGTTGAGGCTGTTAATTACATATAGCATCTGACTACAAGTCTGTCAATGCATTCATCTCTGCTTTGTCTCCCACGCTGATATTCCAGTGCATACACCATGTGATAAGTGGCCCCCAAAGCTAGATGTCTGTGCCTGTGGATGCAAACCTCACACGTAATATCCGAGATTGAAGGAGGCTGTGTGTGTGTGTCAGAAAACAGGATCTGTCTTCTGTGAAGGGTGTGTGACCAAATTGGTGGTGTTGTCAAATACTGGTGGTCCAGTATCTGATAGCTCTGCTGGGCGAAGATAGACGGGTATAAGTGAGTAAGTATCCCCTTCTGTTTTTATATATTCACTGTATATTATAAGGTTGGACTCTTTTGAGATGTTTATACTCACTATCAATTTTCAACAATATAAAAAAAACAGCTAGCTGTAAATATGTACTCATATATCTGTGCTGCTATGTGATGACCAGTATCAGCAGTGTATCAATATCAGGAGGTTGTTGTTCTGAACGTAACACAGGTCTTGCTCTTGTTTTGTGAGGCGCACGCAATCGATACTGCTGGCAATTCTGTTCTGTGAGTTCCTTCTCTCCTCTGAGATCGAGGGTAAAAAGAAATCCAATACAGAGAGACGTATACTAAAAAATGGGTCAATTTAATCCCCCTTCTGCTTTGTAAGGCGCTTGCAGCTGCGCACCATGTTCATCAGAGGGAAAGATGAGAGGAAAATTACAGAGGGAAACAACCTTGGCTGAATGCTGCAGGTGTAAGGTGTGGTATTGTTGCAATTGTTGCTTTTCAAAAAAAAAAAAAAAAAAGAGCAATAGATCCTGTACTTCTGTAGCACTGCTCTAACACAGGCTGCAACTCCTCTGAGACCGACAATGAGTAGCTCCTCTATTTTTGGTGTGTCCCGACACTTCCTAACCTGAGAATAAAGGCGAGTGTGTCACCCGCAGTCCTTCCTTACCTCCCAGGGTAGCAGAAACTAGGAAGTGGGTCCCATACTTCTTGATGAGGTTTTCGTTGATTTGCTGCAGGGTTGGTCGTCGCCCCAGTAACCGGAGGTTGCGCAGGAACTCTGGCGCTAAGGGCAACGGAGCTTTGAGGAAATCTCTCTTCTCTGTGGCCAGGCTGTTCACCTTCCAGTGGCTGAACTCCCTGAAATGATGATAACATTAAAAGGTGAATGCATTTTTAGGAGTAAGAGTGTAATATGTTCTATAGAAAACAATCTCCATCCAGACAGCCGTTTTAGCTCTGTATCAGAAACCATGTCCGTCCATACTAACACACCTGAAAATGCATACATACGTAACCATTCACGTACATTGGGCATGCACGAGCCAGTGTAAACAGGAAGCTGTTTAGCGTGCTAATGTCGGTAGAAGAAAAGATGTGATAGAAAATAAAAGCAAAACAAGAGTTAACACTGGTGTTTGTTTCCACTGCTGGACACAGCTCGGCGAGTAAAGGAACGAAGTTTGATGCTGATGTTTTTTCTAGACTGGTAAGCAAACAGCCGTTAATGCTAACGTTGGTTATGTAGCAATAGCAAAACTTACAAATAGCTCTTTGAAGGTGCTACTAATACTCTACATTACTGTGAAAATGATTGTGACTCGTACACTACCAACTATGAACAATGGATTAGCAATTGGTAGCTTTTGTCTGATGCAAATGGTAGCCAAGTCAAAGAAAGACTCAATCACAGATTAGTCCTAGTGGGATTTACAGTCTGATTCACATATCGGGCGTCGGATCTTCAATTCGGTAAAGGAAAAAAAAAGAGAAACTTCAGGAAGAGGAAGGATACCTTCACCAAGATAGACAAAAGTTTGCTCAAAGAAAAACCTCCTGAGGTGGTTGGTTGCATTTCCACTAAGCTTTTTTGATAACTTTCAGCTATCCAATACATGAGGTGGGTGAGTGTAAATGGGGTCAGTGTTCTTTTTGCCTGCCTTTCTCAGCAATGGTTGTTTGTTGTTTACTGTTTTACTTTGCTGCAGGGGATTGGCTTGGACGTGAATTTTCTATTGGCCTTTCACTCCTTCAACCATCCGCTATTACCAGAAAGTCTCAAACCCCTCAGCTCTGTTTGTGTTGTAAAACCCCCTGAGCCCTCCTTCCATTTTGCACTGTTGCTCTTGCTTGTTCCTATTTATTTAAATTGCGTCTCAAAAATTAATATGGTGATGATTAATTGATGCTAAACTTATCTCTGGGACTTTATCTAAGCACTCAGAATTAGATTTGAGCACTCTGGACTTCTGAAGGCCAGTTTCACTATTTTTGGGATGCTTTTGGCTGCTGGTGATATAATTTGCATCAATATTTAGGATCCTTAAATTGGTCCTTGCCATGCCATATAATTATCAAAATGCTACATTAGATCAACTCTGTCTGGAAGTGTAATGTAATGTAATGTTGTGTTTGCAGCTTTTTGAGCTGAACCCAAGTGGCCAAAATCAAATACAATAAAATATCCAGTCCTCCAACCTGAACAACCAAATGGGTCTGGTATGACCCACAAGAGCGTCTCCTGAAATAACGCCTTAGTTGTCATGGTTACAATCGTAAACACAAGGACTGTACTGACAGCGGTGTGCCTACCTTCATTGCCATGTTTACTATGAAAAAGTTCATGGCTTGGTTGGGTTTAGGAAAAGATCGTGATTTGGGTTAAAATAAGTACTTCCTCAACATTAGTCGTCATGGTTACAATAAAAACAACGTGGTTAACTCTGTCCAACGGTCATGGATTATAGAAACAACATAAACTGCGACTTTCACGTGGGAATTGAACACGGCTCTCCTGCCTCATGTTCCTGTGTGTCGTTGACCCATCCATCCACTACAACTTCCTCCTGATGCGGACTTTGTCGCTCTTGTATCACCGCACTTTTCACTTTGCTCCCATCATAATTACTATGACCACTAGATGGCGCCTAACAACTCGTAACTATGGGTCATAATAACCTGCTGCACAAACGAACTATATGCTCGTTTTTTTTTTTTTACAGGAGTCCAGTCCATGCAGAACATTGTCAGACTTTGACTTGACTGTTCCTGATCACAATATGTGTGAGACTTTGAGGACGAGAAACATTTAAATTCCTACACTTCCAGTGCACCATGGTTTTTGTAAACTGTCCACACAAATACCAGGCAGTATAGCAAAACCTGACCAATAGTAGAAAGTGACAGAGGGGGGAAACTAGTCTGGAAAATGTATCCATTCCAAGAGGCTGATAATCATTTCATCACTTCACTCCTGCAGAACCCCAAGGTATTTGAAGATTATGCAAATACCAGCACAAAAGCACAGAGCCACCTCATCTGCATAAATTTGCTGCAAAACAAGAGGCGCTGAATATTAGCACATTATGTATGCATTTTCTCCGAACAAAATACCAGCAGTGACACACTGTGTTTTCCCACGAGTAATCTCTCTCTCATACACACACTCACAATCATACACACACACACGGACCATACACAGAGGGAGGTGCATATCCTGTATCACTGTCTCAGTTTCCTACCGGCTGCTCTTACAGTGCCTCTTTGCGGTCAATAGTTTACTATTACAGACAACACGATACTGTAATTATGCTGCTGACAGCATTGTGACTACACTGGAATACATACAATAGGCCAAATTCCCTTAATAATACAAAATGAATATGCATGGGGTCACTCAGATGGTACCACAGTAAAGACAGCAAAGGGCTGTAATTAGTTTTTAGTTGCTGCTCTGCATATTAGTCCTTAAAAGAGAGTTCAGATTTGTAACCATTTAGAACAAACCATGACAAAGCGTCCCTCAGAAGGAATGGCCCCCGGGAGCATACGGTCAAACTAGTGCTTCATTAGGTGGTTCACTCTCACATAATGCGCCAATTAATGTCTGTAGCCTGGCCACACTCACAGTGCAATTTATACAAGACATCATTAACTCAGGCCACATTGTTCTTTCTTGAAAACAGGACAACTGAGGGAAGCAGAGTCTGAGGGGACGGTTTGGAAGTGCAAGAAAAATCTCTGCAAAAAAAATTAAATAAACAGACTGAAAACACAAGAGGAGGTCGAGGGGCATTTGCTTTCTTACGCCTGCTTGTTTGTTCCCCCTCAGTGAGTAGCCATTAGTTTATTTATATCAACTCAGATAGTTGTGTGAGTGAGAGAGAGAGAGAGAGAGAGAGAGAGAGAGAGAGAGGGCGGGGCAAAGACGGGTTGAGCAAATCAGTGCGCTGCTCACGGCTCTACGGTGAAATAAGGTTTTTATCCATTTGAAATTGTAAAATATTTTCAGTTCATTAAGGAGCTGTGTCTTCAATGCATCTTGGTTGCATTCACACCTGAACTTAGAGCTGTCCACTTGTGACTGGATCGCCTGAGACGGAGGTCCGATCGGGGTCTTACTGTTGCCTGAGCAAATAGCTTGATAGACTGTTTATTAATTTGTCTGAATGTTATAACTGAGGTCGTATTTTGCTGCAAAGGTGTCTGTTTCATACGCTTGACATCCGTCAGGTGCCTGTGTGTGTGACCCTGTACAATGTTCAGGATCAAGTATTTCTTACAGAACTTCCCCACAGAGCTGCTTCAGCTCCGGTGTGAACGTCTCTCTTGTCATTCCACAGTATCTCTGTTAAGAGCGTTAAGGTCCAGACTCTGACTGGGCCACTCTCAAAGGCGGATTTTCTTTGTTTGAAGTCATTCTTCAGTGGGTTTGCTTTGATGTTCACGGTCATTGTCCTGCTGCATCACCCGACTTCACCCTGACATTTGATTTCTCTAAATCAAAGAGGAAAACTCCCACCAGGGACCGGGAAACATTTCAACTGTTTTCATTGAAGTACGAACAATCTAATCTTGATATGTAAAATCAGAGTACTGCCCCTTTAATAAAAATGCAAACAGACATTTTCCATCACCCTGAAGAAATGACTTGATTCAATCTAGCAATCTTTATTTGCCATGTACACCATTACACAAGTATAATGTGCAGTGATGCAAGACTGTGAAAAAAAAGAAGCATATATCAATCAAGTATAAATGGAGATAAAAAGTAAAAAAAAAATAGTGTAAAAAAAATAAAAGTGACAGCAGCAGTGATGAAGCGTTGTAGTGGCATCAAATCAAGGATGAACATGAGATAAACACTGTTATCTAATCATAAACATAATAGCATGAATTTTAATTAAAGAATCTGTCAAGTGTGATTAAACATTTTCATTGGTCGCACCGGTGAACCTGACATTTAGCAGGTCTGTCTCTGTGTGTGTGTGTGTGTGTGTGTGTGTGTGTGTGTGTGTGTGTGTGTGTGTGTGTGTGTGTGATGTTTTTTTCGTTCTTTCTCTTTGCATTCTGTGAAGACCTGCACCTACTGGTTGCCTCTGATTGGCTCTGATTCTTATATTCTTCTTCTTCGTTTAAAACTAGTGGAATTAAAAAAATAAGGAGTGTATGTGTGAGTCCTCTTCAAGTGACACCATAACCCTAAAACGTACAGGTAATTCAAAATGAAGAGAACTATTGATTGCTTGCTGTGTTTTCTTTAACACAGAAGAATGAGGCCGCGGCGACTGTTACACCTGTTCCCGGCGCTGAAAGGTCCAGACCAGACCCGACATAATCGATGGAGGTTATAACGCTCCACCCACTATCTCCCCTGTTCCAACATGTGACTACAAGCAAGAGCCTACAAAATACAAAAAAGCCAAAATATCTGCCATTCACAAAGAAACAGCATTTTCAATTTCTGTGGCTCAGATATGATAAAGGCTGGGAACAGCAGTTTTGTGTCAGAGCATCGACGTAGCAACCAAAGCTAGTCTGGAGCCCTGAGTTTAAAGGCCCCATAAAGATAGATTCCCATGTTTTCTTTGATTGATTTGATTCTTTGGTCTAGGTTCTATATTAAGACTGTGAAAATATCAACGTGTGCAATCCACAGACAAAATCACAGCTCACAGCCTGTATTCAGTAAATGAGCGCAAAAATGAGCTGTCAGGACTTCAGTAACTTTGTGATGTCACAACAAAGCAGTCACTGCCCTCAGCCACCACCCAAGCCCCGCCCACCTGGACCCACAATGCAGGATTTTGTCTCTCTGTTTATATTTTCACTAGATAACTCAGAAAACAGTCATCCAATCA